CCAAGGTGAAGTACAACACATTTATCAATATTCAGTGGTAGTAACCACTCACAACTCCAGTTGTATAAGGCAATCAAGTCATTTTGCAATATATGTTGTGATTTTGTGTTGTTGTAAAGTTTTGTGTCATCAGCGTAAAAAGAACAGGTTGACTTAAAAATATGTGATAAATCTGATGTGTAGCACAAAAACAACAGAGGACCAAGTACAGATCCTTGGGGAACTCCACTCAATACAGGATATTGGTCAGAGAAGCAATCATCTATCCGAACACAAAAATATCTGTTCTCTAGAAAATTCTGGATCCACGTCAGTAGTAGCCCGCGTACACCAAAATGTTCTAATTTACACAAAAGTCTTTTTCTAGGGACACGGTCAAATGCTTTAGAAAAGTCTAGATAAATAATATCCATAGGGGTATTATTGTCCAAATGTTTTGACCAGACATTCACGCACTCCAATAAGTTTGTTGTAACTGACCGATTTGGAACAAAACCATGTTGTTGTTGCGGAATTATTTTGTGATATAACAGGAAAGTTTTTAATTCATCACTTATTATTGATTCCATGATTTTGCAAGCCACTGAAGTGAGACTTATAGGTCTGTAGTTGCTTGGGTCGAGCTTGTTACCCTTTTTGAATATTGGTGTTACAGATGCTAACTTCCAGCTATTTGGTAAGCAGCAGTTTTTGAATGAACGGTTCATAATTATACTTAGTGGATAGACTAGATTTTCGCTGCATCTTTTTAGAAACAGGACAGTGATGCCATCGATGCCTGGGGAGGAGGATGATTTTAGTTTTCCAATTTTGTCCAGAATTTTTGACGGAGGGAAATTTATATTGGAAAGGTTGTCCTGGTTGCGTACGGAGTTAATCGTGATTGTATTTGGTAATTCAGGTTCAATGTTAAAGGATGTTGTGAAAGTACTTGCCATCATTTCTGCGACTTCTTTGTTGTCTTTGCATATGTCACCATCCGTCTTCTTCAACATAGGTATACTAACTCTAGAACTAAGGTGTGATCTTATGTACTTGTGAAGCTTCTTGGAGTTTTCAAATTTTGATAGATTCCTTTCATATGAAATTCTAGCATTCTTTATCGATTCAGATAGTGTATTTGAGAAACGTCTGTGAGTGTGATAATCGTTGGCGTTTCTTGTTCTTTTGAATCTTTTCCATAATGTCTGTTTTCGTTTTACCTGTGTGAGGATGTTGTCGTTAATCCATGGTTTGAGTCTATTTTCCGAAAATGTTTTGATTGATGTATTCTGTTCTAATATGATATTTGTAGTATTGTGAAAAGTCTCCCATATGGTATTCACGTCATCTCCACTCAATAAAACGTCCCAGTCCATGGGTGAAAGTGATTCATTAACCTTATGAAAGTCAATATACTTTTTAACTTTTTTCCGTTGACTCGGAACTGATTCTGTAATGATTTGAATAGATGTGCTCAAAACTACATGATCTGATTTTCCTATAGGTGGAAGATAATTAACATCTGTGAATAACTGTGGATCATCAGTAAGTAGCAGGTCCAAAGTTGAAGGGATTTGATTATGCCTATACCGTGTAGGAGCTTGAATCAACTGGGTAAGGTTTGTATTTAACAACAGCTCAATAAAGGCTGTTGTACTTTCAGCAGGATATACATATTGTGTTATTGGCCATGAGATCTCAGGAAAGTTAAAGTCACCGAAAATGACTAGGTTCTTGGAGGTTCTTGTTAAGTTTTCTATTTTTTCAATGAGGGATGAAGTATCTTGTATGTTTGATTTTGGGGGTCTATATATACAGACTAATACGAAGCTGAAAGATGCTGAGGTCAATGAGAGGGTGATTGTTTCAATGTTGTTGCAGTGGAAAGATATGTTTGTAACTAGGAAATTTTTGGTAATGCTGTCATGGATATATATGCAAACTCCTCCACCAATTTTATCAGGCCTATCGGATCTAAATATTGAATATCCATTCAAATTAAACAGAGAATCAGGCACATCTTTATTCAGCCAGGTTTCTGAAATCATAATTACTGAGGGGTTGATGGTTTGGATGAAGCTAACGAAGTCATCAAATTTTGCGGGTAAGGAGGCTATGTTTGTATATACTATAGACCAGTCCAGGACATTCTTTTCTAGTTTTTTTGAACATCGATGATTGTTGGGACATTTTTGATGTATTTAATAGTGAGATTTTGTTCGCCATTTTGTAATCTGTTATTGAGCTCCTTTCTCAGGTTATCCAGGTAGGCTATTTGTTTTGGGGTTTTATCATCACCAATTTTCAGGTGATTATATGAAGATCCTATCAACTTGTTTTTATTTCTGAGAATTTTACGCGCTACCATTTCATTTTCTAATATCAATTTTACAGCACGTGGTTTAGAACGGTCCATTTGTCTTCCCAAACGATACATGGTGAAAGGAACATCATGATGATCTCCATCACAAACAATATCCAATACTTCATTGATTTTAGACTTGTCTTCTTCTTTACATTCTATAGGAGTTCCTGTACTTTCGGGTAGTCCTCGAATTATAACATTTTTGGCACGACTCATTCGTTCTACTGCTTCAGCTGTTACCTCTTCAAGATTTTCTGGTTGACTTTGACAGGTTGTTATATCTTCAAGTTTTGTGTTGATAATAGCAAGCAGATCATCTTTTAGAGATTTTAGTTCTTTAATTTCATTCTCCAAAGAACTCACCTTCTCATCATATTTTTTGAGCAGATTTGCATTCTCTTCTTTTATCTTCTTCATCTGACCTTCCAGACTCTCATCCAGGTAAGCCTTTATTTGTTGGAACAGTTTATCATTGTTTGATTCATCCGAGCTGGATAATCTTCTGGAGGTATTAATTAAATGTCGTATTAAGATAAATTATGAAATTAAAATTTTGTACGATCTCTTTCAACGCCTGTGAATGTGACGTGACAGCAATGTCATGTCAGGGACGCCAATACACGAAACCAAAGTCACTAGATGATTAAAAGAGAAAGGAGCTATGATCTGTCTGTACCCTGTTAGATGACAAATACGTCAGTTTGCATCAAGGGACCCTAGGGCAGGGTGATAAATTGTTTGTCTGGTTTTGCAATGATGTCAAAAACTTTTAAGTGTATCAGTGTATATTTAAACAGAGATTTTATGAAGCAGTTTTTCCGATAGATCTCACATACTGATGATGATTTTTTCCTCAAGAAAATACGGAATACAGGCTTGAGTTTAGGTGGCGTTGAATTCTACAAGGTTATTGGTTCCCTAAGCTGATATTTCAGGAATATAATTTTTTCGACAATATCTCTCTCCATTCTGTGGAGATTATAAAGGGTGTATCAGAAATATTTTCGTTTATAGATCACTCTGGAGCAATACGCGCATGTTCCGAAAAACGAGGTCATTGGCAATCGACTGGCAACACTGTCAAGTTTCAGTTGCAATGGAGAATATACAATCTTGAACTCACTGTTAAGTTTTGATGTGTCTGTTATTTTGGAAACTACCAAAGAAATCATAAGAAAATTTATAAATGGGGGTTGGAAATCATGAAAAACAATGTTATGAGGTCAGTTTTCCTGTAAAAATGCCTAATATGATTTCATAAAAATGTTATCCTTTTTCATGTTAATAGAAACGCATGGCACTATCTAAAATGATGTTCGTCTCTGAAAAAAATTATTACATTGATAATATCGGTCTAAATGTGGTAAATATTGCACAACTAATAGCTGAGATATAGAGAGGGACCCTTTGAAATGAGACATGCTGTAAATACAGAAAATACTTCAGTATGACGTCATTATTTCAAATACCTTTATGATATCATTAGATTCTTTTCAATTCCTTTCAAAGCATCTTGAATCTTAAGTATTCTGATCAATTCTCAAATCCTTTTTAATTACTCTTCAGTACTTCTTAATTACATTAATTACTTTGGAATATTTTTTAAATATTTTCATTGGTCTAAATGTGGTAAAGATCACACAACTAATAGCTGAGATAAAGAGAGGGACCATTTGAAATGAGACATGCTGTAGTACCAGTGTAGTATAGATTTTATGATAATATCATTAGACTCTTTTCAATCCCTTTCAAAGTATCCTGAATCTTAAGTATTCTGATTAATTCTCAAATCCTTTTAAATTACTCTTCAGTACTTCTTAATTACATCAATTACTTTGGAATATTTTTTAAATATTTCCATTGTTTACAAATATCACATACTTTGAATATGGTGTACACTTCTATGAGAGTTGTTTGCCCCTCAGCTGACACTGAAGACATTTCTCAACTTACCTGGTTTCAATTCATATATCCTCATGAGTTACATAGTTGACAGAAAATAGGAGCCATTTTCAGATTTTTCCTCATTTTCTTGAAACAATTCACTTTCAATTTTTTTCCACATAATATTCAGTATCAAATACAAGAATCCTTTTTGATTTGTAAAATACAGGGTGTTGTAGTTGAATATAAAAACCATATTCTCCTAGTGGGGATAGCTCAAGTTATACATATGTATCATATTTTTTTTAAACAAAAGTAATTGGAGACATCCTTGAATTATGAATTGCAAATACTTAATAGAGTATTATGATAATAATCAGTCAGCAAAATTGCATAATTTGTGGTCAACTGAGAAGGATTCAAAAAATTTGAGGGATGTTCAGGTGTCTTCTTAAAACTTGAAACAAATGAAATTTGACAATTGGATCATATAAACTTGAATGGAGCTAGATTTATGTTCAATTCCATTACCAAATATGGAAAATGAAGTAGTAGAAATGATGTTATCTCCATGTTATCTAATAGTGAGTCTACTAGATAACTACATATTCATAAATAGGTATCTATGATCAATGTGCTAAAATGCTGAAAAGGTTTCAGATTGTGTGAGGGTGGATAAGATGAAATTGACACTTGACTAAATATCAATAGATATAAATATGATTTCACAATGGATTTGACATCCAACTAAATTTTAAGAATAGCAAACCTGCAGTAATATCATGGTCAACTGCTGAAAATTCTCTGCTCAATCCTCCTGCTTTAGATACCAGTAAAACAATCAGTCCCCATGTGGGAGTTTCTTTATTCAAAATCAATTCTCTGCAATCAAAAATTGAATCATTGAATCAACATCCCTCAGAAGCAACTGATTTCTCCCCAAAAGTTATTAGCTATATATTTACCTAGCAGTGTCCAAGAGTGGATGATTGGTTCCTATCAATTTTCTTAGGTTTAGGGCAATATTAGCAACTTCATCATTCAGCAACCACCTCAAACTCAAAAAGGATGTTGGGTACCCCACGATTTTTTCTGCTTCATTTACAGCTCTGCTACATTCAGCATGTTCTTTGGACTTCGTTCCGAAATACCTGGGAACACTTCTTGATAAAGCCCTTTCAATGTTGGGCAGTTTTTTCAGAAAGAGAGTCATTTCAAGAGATTCTCATGTGATTATCAAACTAAACTGGACTGTCCGTGAGATGTTTGCGATAAAATATAATTATTCAGAGTGGTTTTCATTGAGAAAATCATTTCCGTGTAATTACATTCCTTTTAAATTTTGAAGGTGTAGTGTTTGAATTCAAGGTTATGTTGACATGATGTCATGTCATGACATTGATTTAGTGTGTGAACATAGCAGCCGAAGCTAGCAGCCAAAATTGTCATTCTTTCCTGATCATCTTCCATATTCTGTTGATTTATTCTCATATTTCTCATTGATGATATTCACCATGTGAATATTGTGAATAACAAGAATCAGTATTAGTAACAATCACCGAACCGAACCGAATCATGGCACAGCAGTTCGTAAATTTCCGTTTTTCGTAGCCAGCTTTCCGACCCATCTTCTCGTTATATTTTATACTATGCAACCCAAATTACAGACTAATGTAAATATGGCTGCTTAGCTTCTAGGCTATCGGCATCAAAGGGAACTTGCCATGGACGTTGCTGAATGCTGATACATCCACATCCATGGGAACACTCATCATTATGCTCACAAAATTCTCGCAAGGCTAATACAAGACCTAATTTTCGATTAATGATTTGTATTACTTCTATATGGAGTATATGTTAACATCAAGAGAGGATTAGAATAACTTTTTTCTGCAATCGGCTCAAAAGTCGTCCATTTTTGTTCCAAAATTAGCTCTTGAAGTTGTCGTTTCTCTCACTGTCTCACTGACTCAATAAAATGATTAGTATGTATGTTGGCTTATCAACACTCTCAGTGTCTAGCTAAAGTTGTAGTTTAACTCCTAGGAACCAAAAGTATGTCGGATGACTGCTGATATGTGATAATGCTGGGTTTATAGATTCAATCAAACTAACAATTTGGAATCAACAATTAACAATCAACAATTAATAATCATGAGGGTGTTTATACATATCTGATATTAATTAAGAATTAAAAGTGAAATGTCTTCTAATTAAATATCAAAATGATGGTAAAAAGTGATTTTGGTCTTCACAATTCATGAATCTATAAAAAATATTCCAATTTAACATCACCAAACTCCACTTGAACAATGACAAATCCAATCTTCATGTTCTGTCTCCAGAATTTCCTAATTCTTAGTTGTTAAGTTGAAAGTTGGCCAACTTTGTAATTCTTAATTCTTAATTTAAATGACAGATGTAAATGTATAAACCCTCATAGATGTTTCCTTGTATTGTTTAATTCTTAGTTTAGTTGAATCTATAAACCCAGCATAAGTGAGTCAAAATAGTGGTACTTAACTTCACTTTATTATTATTATTCGGCTGCAGACAAAATATCATGTTTCGGATCAAAAGTGACTCTGTTTGACTTGCAAAATTTGCGTGCTCGGCTTCGCTAAAGTGACACATTTGATCCTAATAAACAATCGTACTATTATTTTCGGAAGATGCTCCTAGCGAAACACATACAGGGTGGCCCATCGAAAACTTGACATCGGGGTTTTGGGTGATAATATCGCAGATGTTGAAAAACCCTCGGACAGGTCGATTTTAATTTCGAGGGAAACTTTTTTTTCTTCTACATGCACTACAGTCACTGCAACACTCGAGCTGTGGGGTGAACAACCCCTAAAATTTGAATAGAGAATAATGGTGGAGTGGCACATCTTTTGAAAGCCCGTTAAGTTCTCTGTACAACGGCGTCCCGATTTTTAAGTTGAAATGAACCGTTTGGGAGAAAATAAATGCAGGTATGAACCTGTACGATAGTTAAGAGCTTACTTGTACATCTCTGAAACCCTCATTTGCAAGTTTTTCCAATCTATCATTTATTTGCAACGATACTGTGAAAGTTTTTGCTTAGTTTTTTTCGCGGTACTCATGAAAATATTGTAATAAAATAGAACAAATTAACAGACAGAGCATGCAGTTTCTGTTTTTCTCGTTTGTATTACTACAAGTGAGTTTCATTCGTGTGTGGTATCGTACGTCTAAATTAAAAAGATGTTAAATACTGTCTGTAGGTTAATCGAGGAGGTGGTAAAATCATTATTCCAAATTTTTTGGGATTTTCTCTCCTCGTTTCTATAAAATAAAAATATGAATATTATTTCAATATACGTGTAGTAACGACAAATCAGATGATTTGCCCCAAAATGTCACTGCGTTTAAAGAATTTTCCTATCAGCCCAGTTAACCAAAACATGTCGCAGCTTTATCCCTGCTGCATTTCAAATGTTCCATGTTTCATCACAGAGATGTTCCCATTAGAGATATAGCATAGATGAATGTCCGCCTCAAATGAAATCACAGACTTATATCAGTGATGCAACATCAGACTTGAAACAGATATGCTCCTGTGAGATCACAGTGATGACTATGTATCTACATAGCTCTCTCCATGAGCTTGCCAGAGACGTTTCTGATAAATCTGTGCTCTGCATTAGCTCCATCTCAAATCATCCATAAATTTATACTGGTTCCACCAGTATTTGAATCAGTTTTGAATGCAACACCATAATGTTTAGGATATATTCTTGGATTTTCAGATGTTGAAATCAAAAAATCCATTAATATACCCCTAAACACATGTAGTGGCATTCAAAACAGTGAAACAAAAGGAGTAAAAATGTAAACTTTATTCCAATCCATTGACAAATTACTAAACAAACCTCAAAATATATGTAAAATAAAAATATGAAATAGAATATACAGGGCGTTCCCAGTTTTCATGATGATCACAGCATGGTTTTCTTCCATAACTCCTTCATTTATTTCCTTTTTACCTGCAGATTCCATCTCTTGGAAGTGATCATAGAGAAGTTATCATTCATTTTCATGGGAGATCATTGTTTTGTTTTTACTGTTCTCTCCAACCATTTTTCCATCAAAATCGAGATAAAAATCTTTAGTTGAGCTGACTACAACTAGAATAACTGATATTTCATGTGCAAATAAAAGTATACAAAACAAGTGTTCACCTGTCATTATTGCGAAAACTCTCAGATTGGCCTAACCAGCTGGTCTTCCCTACACGGGAATCAAAACCTGGTCTCTTCAGTATATTTTTGTCTTTCTTGAAGTCCAGCTGGAATAAAAATTCAATTTCAAACTACAAACTAGTAGCATACCTATATTAATAATAAAAATATGACACAAAACACAAGATACATTTACAAATATTGTCACTAAAATTGCAGAGTTGAATTTCCTTGTTGGATACAAAGAATCACAAGTACTTAAAAACTGAAAAATAGCCTCAAACCTAGCTAGAATAAAGAACCAAAACATTATCATCTATTTGCAGATATCTATTTCATGTGGTCATCAATGATTTATGAATGATTATTCAATGATTATAAATTTAATTGGTATACAATTGAAATGAATTCCACCTAGACATGATGGTGTGCAAACTGCAAGGGTAGGCAAATCATATCTAAAACTTACTTACCTTCGTAGGTACTGACACCGTATAGAAGTATAATGGTGGTACTGATGACTACATCAGCAGAGGGCTTCGAATCACACAAGTGGCTTACTTGGAATGAAATTCATTTCAATGATTCAATGTCCCAATGAAACAATAAGAGTCATCTTGGTGATTTTGGTGAATGGCAGATCATTGTTGTTCTGGTCATTTAGTGAAATAACAAATACATTAGTTTTGTTTTGTAAACAACGAGGTATCCTTTTATGCTGCTGATTTCGTTTCGTTACCGAATTTCTTGAAAATCCACGAAAAAGTGAGGTTAGGAAAGCCCAGTAAACACAAAGCACATTCTTCGTCTCCGTGATTGTTAAACCACATTAAGGGCGCGCATCACAGTGAAATAGTTCGCACACAGACACCAGTGAAACTATAAATATATCACAGCCGTCTAGTGGCGCCATAATTATAGTTTCATGAATTATTTCTACAGAATCCTTTAGATACATTCAATTCAATCAATAGGGAACCTCATCAATAGATGTCTCTGAATAATGTTTGTGACTGTACTAAGGGAACAGGTACAAAGTCACCTACAGTGTTGCCAGTATTTAATCAGAGTACGTCGCCCAATTAGTAGTAGTAGAAATTCATAATAGTGGAATGATATATTTCACATTATTATATTTACCACCTAGTATTCCCATCCTGTGATGACCTCACCATAGAATGAAAGTCACGATAGTTTATATCTAACATATATTATTGATTCTCTGTCACAGTGTTTGTGGCCAAACTCCTCCGAAACGGCTTGACCGATTCTTATGAAAATTTTTGTGCATTTTTGGTAGGTCTGATAATCGATCGTAAATTATTTTTTAAATTGGAAACTCAAGATGGCGGATCCAATAAGGCGGGCGAGTTTTCGAATTATGATCCGATTCTATTCAAAATCTCTGTATCGGGTGGTTTTCGGGATTGAAAATAATGATACTTTCGTCAGAATAAGAAAATTAAATATGGTGGATCCAATATGGCGGACGAGTTTTGTACTTGTGATCCGAATATTTTCAAAATTGGTATCTGGGGGTTTTCGGTATCGGAGAATATGATTCTTTTGTCAAAATCAGAAAAATAAAGATGACGGATCCAATATGGTAGAGTTTCGTAATTATAACCCTATTCTATCAAAAATTGGTATTTGGGGGTTTTCGGTATCGGAGTTTATGATTCTTTTGACAAAATTAGGAAATTGAAGATGGCGGATCTAATTTGCATTTTGGATCCGGATCTATATAGGTTTTCGTTGAAAGGGATTTTCTCTTTTTATTTCAGAGTTCTGTGGCCAGAGATCGAATGAAGAAGTTATACGTATCATTGTACCTTTGGTTCTTATAATCATTTGAACTTCCCGGAGATTTTGAAGTTTTTGTTGACATGTTTTCTCTGTGCGTTTTTGAAACATTTCAGACACATTTACCTGATGAAAATAGATGAGATGTTTATGATATATTATTATCAAAAAATTTTCCCATATGATGCCAACTTTATGAATGATA